GAAATCTATGATTCGCACATGCCTATTATTCTCAGTACGAAGCAAAAGGCTTCATACTGAGTGGTAGTTCGTTGATTTATTGCCAAAATAGAATACAATTTGACTAGCAAACTGGATGCTTTGCTTATTTTTGGAAGGTTGCAATAAAAAAATGCACTACTTAATTGGGTGAAAAACAAAGCATTGTAACACAATCATGTGCATAATTACATTTTACACATTACCCTATATCAAAGTTAACAAAATTTTCAAAAAAGGTTGCGATAGTTGTGTCAATGTCTTCTCACTGAGTGTTCGTGGGCCTCTGCGGACATTAGTAAAGGGGATAACCGTCACAGTATGTTGAGTAATTGACCAAAATCTGTTAGCTTTGTAACTAATGGCCATATGGCCATGTTGCAACTGCAGTGTTAAAAGCCAGTCAATATTAAAGGCTATTTCGATTTAAACAATTCAAGAAAAGCCAAGCAGCTTCGAGATATTCATTGTCCAATGTTTTTGTTTTAATGTCGGATGCAAAAACCGCGCTCAGCTTGAGCTGAAGGATTCGTGCCGTTAATTGTGGGTAGAAGAGTAACATAGTCGTACAGGGCACATCGTCACTATCTCAACGGAGTGTCCTAGGTAGATGCGTCCGCGTCACACTTCCAAGATAGTGAAGTTGCGTCCGAAGCAACCACGTCCGCACAACATCCTGAGGTCTTCCCCAAGTGCACAATTTTCGAATCAGGTGACAAGAAGGCAAATTTTCAACATTCAATATCTTGAACCTTGCTGCTGTACACAAATTGTGGTAGTCTTTAATATTTACTGCCTTTGAAACTAGAATTGAAACAAATTTCATAAAAAGATAAAACATCCCCTGATCCTCCGAGCCCCACAAACACAGAACGAACGAGGCACTTAAGTAACACTCGTGCCATTTTTTTTTTAAATTTCGTTCGAATTAAAGTAGACAGCTTTGTGTGTATGTATATATAAATATATATAAATACTGGGTGCATGTGCATGCAGCAGTGTGCCATCCCACTATAGAGGTCCACGTTTTCCTTAGGTAAAGCTGGATCAAATTGGAGAAGGCCAGTTTTACATAAACCCCAAGTAAAGCATGTACCAAGGACCACCAGAAATGATTGCTCACCTCGTAGAACACTCTGTGCGGCTTGAAGAGAGCGGCTCGCAGTCTTCGACGGTGGGTAGACCCGCTTGGTGCAGCTGGGACCTGCAAGAAAGTCAATGCAGCTTGCCATATACCAGAAAGTAACAAATACAAGACCAGTATTACGTAAACCCCCAGCAAAGCATGTACCAAGGATCACCAGAAATGATTGCTCACCTCATAGAACACTCTGTGTGGCTTGAAGAGAGCGGATCGCAGTCTTTGACGGTTGGTAGACCCGCTTGGTGCAGCTGGGACCTGCAACAAAGTTAATGCAGCTTGCCATATACCAGAAAGTAACAAATACAAGACCAGTATTACATAAACCCCCAGCAAAGCATGTACCAAGGATTTTTTATTTAGAAGGCACCAGCTGAACAAACCAAGCATACAAATGTAAGGAGGACGAGAGAGACGCATTCAACCGCTGGACTACCAACTGCATTTAATGAAACACTTCATCTTCATTGACAGGCTAGGATCAATCATACCTAGCTAGCTTCTTTCTTTTTTCCCTCATTTTTAAACTAAGGCATCCTCCTCGTCTGTCTACTTGTGGGCAGTGCTTCTACCTCGCAGGAACGTCCTCTCTTCTCTGGTAGACACAAGTAGACAGATGAGAAGGATGCCTAAGTTTAAAAATGAGGGAAAAAAAGAAAGAAGAGAAGCTAGCTAGGTATGATTGATCCTAGCCTGTCGATGAAGATGACTTTTAAATATGTGTAACCAACGTGCTCAACTCTCTCCCGTGGTTATGTACCAAGGACCACCAGAAATGATTGCTCACCTCATAGAACACTCTGTGTGGCTTGAAGAGAGCGGCTCGCAGTCTTTGATGGTGGGTAGACCCGCTTGGTGCAGCTGAGACCTGCAAGAAAGTTAATGCAGCTTGACAGATACCAGAAAGTAACAAATACAAGACCAGTATTACATAAACCCCCAGAAAAGCATGTACCAAGGACCACCAGAAATGATTGCTCACCTCATAGAACACTCTGTGTGGCTTGAAGAGAGCGGCTCGCAGTCTTTGACGGTTGGTAGACCCACTTGGTGCAGCTGGGACCTGCGAGAAAGTTAATGCAGCTTGCCATCTACCAGAAAGTAACAAATACAAGACCAGTATTACATAAACCCCCAGCAAAGCATGTACCAAGGACCACCAGAAATGATTGCTCACCTCACAGAACACTCTGTGTGGCTTGAAGAGAGCGGCTCGCAGTCTTTGACGGTTGGCAGACCCGCTTGGTGCAGCTGGGACCTGCAAGAAAGTTAATGCAGCTTGCCATATACCAGAAAGTAACAAATACAAGATCAGTACTACATAAACCCCCAGCAAAGCATGTACCAAGGACCACCAGAAATGAGTGCTTACCTCATAGAACACTCCGTGCAGAATTTTCCTAGCATACTTTCCAACTGCCCTGCAGTTTCGAGTTTTACTGTTCCTTCCCTCATTGTTTTGGGAAGAGAGAAAGAGTCTATTCAATTTTTTTATAAAAAGGGAAGAATATGACAATTATTTTTTTAAGGAAAGGAAAGATGTTGTATTTAAGTTTTTCGCATTTACCATCTACCCAAGCCAGGTGGCGCTCCTACCGCTTTGGCGCCCGTGTTTTCAGGGTTGCGTCCCCGCGGCGCTTGACCCCCCATGTTGTTTACCGTTACATAAAGAGTAAGTGTTTGGAAGTCCAACTGGTCGGTCGTCTCTTTCCTTCCGGGGCTTCCTGCCTCCGGGCCCCGCCAGTCACCACCTCGTCATGTAAGACCCTCGGCTTTTCCGCAGGCCCACGCAGGCCCTGCACTCCTTTTATTTTCACAGTTTACTTTCTTAGTTACAACATGGTGCGTGCACCTGCTTGGTGCAGCTGGGACCTGCAATAAATTTAATATGGCTTGCCATATACCACAAAGTAACAAAGTCAAGGCCAGTAATATATAAGCCTACAGCACAACATGTCCCCCTAGAAATGCTTTCTCACCTCATAAAACATTCCATGCGACTTGGAGAGCGGCTTGCAACGTGAGGGTGAGTGCTTGGTTTAAGTGGAACCTGCATAAGTTTAATACAGCTTGCCTTGTACCACAAAGTAACAAAGACAAGGCCAGTAATACATAAGCCTACAGCACAACATGTCCCAAGGATTGCTAGAAATGCTTTCTCACCTCATAAAACACTCCATGCGACTTAGAGAGCAGCTTGCAACGTGAGGGTGAGTCCTTGGTGCAAGTGGAACCTGCAATAAATTTAATATGGCTTGCCATATACAACAAAGTAACAAAGACAAGGCCAGTAATATATAAGCCTACAGCACAACGTCCCAAGGATAGCTAGAAATGCTTTCTCACCTCATAAAACACTCCATGTGACTTGGGGAGCACCTTGCAACATGAGGGTGAGTGCACCTGCTTGGTGCAACTGGGACCTGCAATAAATTTAATACAGCTTGCCTTATACCACAAAGTTACAAAGACAAGACCAGTATTACATAAGCAGCATGACATATCCCAAGGACCACTAGAAATGCTTGCTGAACTCATAGAACTCCCCATGCGGTTGGAAGAGAGTGACTGGCAATCTTTGGATAGTACCTACGGGTTCATTTCACTTCCTTGATGAGCCTAAGCACTTTCGGATGAATGCCGCTCTTTGCAGTATGGCATGGTGCACCCCTGGTGCCTCTTCTGGGGTTTATCTGGCCAAAGTACCTATAACAAAAATATAAAAACTACGTCACACCCTGCAGTCGCCAGCAATCCCACAACAATATCCTGACCGAAGTAGAGTAGGAAAAGGGGACGAGGGAGCTAGTGGAGCAAATTATTGCTCATTACTATGGTAGCCAATATTATACATCCTTTCATCCCAAACTTTAACTAAAGGTCATGAAGCAGCCTAACCAAAAAAGATCAAAAGAGCTAATTATGTCTGTTTACTTCAAAAATTAATTGAAGCTTTTTTTTTTTTTTTTTTTGCTGGTGTCAATGCATGTTTAAGCGGAACTTCAGAGGGGTTGTGCTGAATGCCTGTGGAAATGTCAACCTTTATTATCTACATGTCCTTACGTGGCGTGCATTACCACATCTATGAGGCCACAGTAGGGTATGGAAGATTTGCAGCAATTTCAACAGTCAGCACTGCTGCAAGAAAGGTTTTGAGACATGTTTCACATATTCTGATTGATGTGGGTCGTGCATAAATGGGAAAAAATATGCTTTTACTTTAGTTCCATTTCACCACACTATTGTTGAAATATAGATACATTATCATAAGTAAATACCTTTGAAGAAATTCCAGGGTGTGTTGGGCTCCATCTGGATACTTTATGTTGAAAAAAAAGTATGCTCCAAGCAGAAGACCGTAAGCAGTTTCAACGCGGGTTGTCTCGAGCACAAACGCTTGGTCGACAACGAGAGCAATGCGCAGCGGGTCATCAAGAAGTGTGCTTCCTAAGGGAAAACATGGTGTGTTTAATCAGTCATGTGTTATGATTAGATTTCCAACAAAAAATGAGGTCGATGACCTCACTACCCAAAGACTAATGAAAACTGAAAACATCGCATACCATACTTTTCATCAGTGGTTGCATTTCTACGAACTTGATTTTTACAATGAGTGAAGGGCAACAAAATGTAGGCTCACCAATGACAGCCAAGTGGGGCGATACTGGGCATGTCTCCAAGACACTGTCAACTGAGGCATGCTAAAATGAACAAGATTAATGAAAACACAAAGCTGTTGGGGAAACTTTTGTCCCCAATGATCTAAAATCAGACATATTCAAGACTAACTAAAGATAGCGTACAACATTACCATAAATAAATATCAATCTCTTTTGTTTTCCGGTGTTTGAGGTATTCTTGTGTCAAGATTGAATAAACAAACATAGTGCAAAAATAAACAAAATGCATTGCAAGTGTCTATCTCATACATATGATACATGTATTACCAATAAGATGAAACTCACTGCATGGAATGAGATGAGTGTCTCGATGCTCTCCGTGAAATATCCAGCCAGGAGCTCAGGGACGAACAAGTGGCGAGGTGGCACCTGTCCTTTGGGATCTACCATTTCCTGGATGGCCTGAAGCAAAGGCCGTGTCCTCGGTGCCCAAGTTTTCAACATTGTGTCAAAGATGCGAACACCTTTGGTACTCAGCTCGTGGACAAAAGTAACTTGGTAGGGAAATCCAAGAAGTGTGTTCAGATGAGAAACAAAAATACTTTCTTTGAAGAGATGTGGCCAGGCTTTCCCAATTTGTGGTATCGTGAGCAGGCCAGAATTGATCTGTCTTCTTTGGAGTGCATATGTCTCCTGCATGGTAGAGCTGATCTCTGGAAAGCTGGTGGCACTATGGATTTGCTTTCTTTTTTCTTCTAGTTCCTCCCACGTGTAGGGTGTGCAGTCTGGAGCCCATGCTGCACAGCCGTAAGAGTCTGTCTCCTTGGCTTGCTTTGAAGGTGTAGCTGAGCACTCGGCAGGTTCAGCAGATCTCTTTGTAGATCGGTGCGGCCGCCGTCTGTTTTCTAGGTACACCATCAGCTGCCTAGTCAAAGATGCAGTACCATCCCCAATGAGGTCTCCTGTGGACGTGATGTCTGCAAATGACGATTGGTATTTTTCAACAATGGTCAAAGCAATTTTGTTGACTTGATAGGTTGTTGGCGACACGCTATGGGCTGCGATGGCTTCTCCCAGCAGTTTCACCAGTTTACGTCTCAGCTGGGGCTCAGGGACCTTGTTCTCTTCACATGCTTGTACCAGCTCCACTGGCATTGCAGTCCAATCTACTTCGAATGTCTCCGCCCAGCGGTCAATAGCTGTCCTTGACCTAACTTCTCCGGCTTTGTTACCTTGCAATACCCCTGACACTGTTGGTCTGGAAATGGTCACTTCATGGCTTGACGCTGGCTCTTGAAACTCTACCTTGATTAGATGCAGAAGCTTTCTAATGAGGAGCGTCTTCAAGTAAGGTTTTAAGTCTTCTGCTTCTAGGTAGAGAAGGTCTTTCGGAACCCTGTAGCCCTCCTCATGGAGATGACTGGCTAATTTTTCCAGCTCTTGGATAGGAATTTCGGGTACCAGTGTTGTTATTGTTTCTTGAATTAGATCCATCTTCAGTATGGAAGAAATAATGAAGCCTACATGATTGCATCCCCTTTTACATATAGTGTGTGCAAGCAGACAATAAATGCAGAGTGCGACACTGTTAGCGCAAACAAGGGAAAACTGGTTTTTGCTGTTTTTTTTCTTAGGATCGAAATGTTCCGATTGAAAGGGGCACTAACCTAAGTGTTAAATTCTGGTTCTCGGGAATACCATTTCAAAGCGAAATAGTAAAAAAAAAGCACTGATGTCGTATTTACGCTAAAAGCATCGCGCAATGAACATGCATTCAAATGTCGAGAGCCAGGTGAAGCATTACTTTGGTGTTGTCTACACATAAGCGATGTATTCAACGTCGTGTTTCAGAGAAACTACCTGCCTTGCCCCACAAGTATAGGTATAAACAGGAGAAAAATCTAGGAGACTGGAGTAAGGGACGCATGAAATGCTGCCTGCACAAGTCTTGACGACCTTCAACCCCATGTTGGCCCACGTTGACAGTTCACATGGCTGAACTACAAACACCACCTCCTGCTGTGCAACGACAGAGCAAACTATTTTTCCTGCCAACGGTTGCCCCTCTTGCATAAAAAAAATTACAGAGTCCGTCTCATACACTGTCCCTCGGTATACAAGCTTCTGACTGACCTCAGCGGAGTGTAGTGGAATTCCACACCTCTTAACACCACTGACAACGTCGTCAGAGTACATTCCTTCTACGAATGATGAAGCATGCTCTAGTATCAATTCATCGGCATACAGCTGACTGGCTCTGCAGTATGATTGAAGCATCTCGTGCTTAGTGGCCATCGAGTAGGTTATGTTCTTGAAATTTCGAGTGCTACGTATGATGCGTTTGAAGTAAGAGTGCTTGCTTTCAAAGCGAAGTGTTGACAAGTGGCTCAGGGGGCCATACTCATAGCAAAGATCAGGGTAGTGCCTCAAATAATGGTGTTTAGGCTTTAGAGGAATGTCAGGAAAGAGGTGTACCCTGCGAGAGAGATAGTCATCGATAAGCACTCTGAGGTAAGCTATCTGTGTTACATGAAGCTTGGGAGAAGCCAGCATTGTGACAATGTCCTTTAAGCAGAGGTAGAGCTGCCACACCTTGTCCTCTTCATCTCTTACCCTGTCATACAGCAACACTGGCAAGAATATGACTAGGTAAAACATTCGAACTGCTTCTCCAGACACTTTACATTGTGGATCCCGTGAGATTGTGCACATTCTGTTCTTACAGTCATGCCCTTTCAGCTTGATGTTGTTTATACGCATGTTGAGCTCGTCGACAGTAAACCAGTTCTTGTTGATGACAAGGCTCTTAATGACAAGTGACAAGTCATGTGCTACCACGCCCTCAAATACGTCGTGTGCAATGCATGGTGGTAAACCAGATGTAGTGTGAAAACTCTCGAGTTTGTTAAATGCCGAGTCAAACTTCACACCCAGATTTGAGGCACGATTTTCTTCTTCAATCTGTTTAAGGCTGCTCTCGTGACTTTCCACAGTGCGGCGAGACCCAAATGACCTAAAATCGGCATAGAAATCCTCCCTCTTTACTTCGCAAAAGCGGCAGAAGTAGGTAGATTTGGAAAATGATTCAACAAAACCGCCTATTCCGTGACTTCCAAGGTTGTCACCTAAGCAAGACAACAATCCACACTTGTATTTTACTCCATCTACTGTAATTCCCTCCTGTTCCAAATCTAGAAGGTCCGAGACGAGACGCTCCCACACAGCCTCATGTCCGACTTCTTGCAGGATAGACTCGTAGCACAGCATGACCAACTGTATAGCATGCACCTTTGTCCTAGCAAGTGGTGGCATGTTTGCGATGCTATAATATGTTCCCAAAATTTTATGTTTCTTTCGTGCAGAGCCCAAAGGATTGACAACTTCAAAAGCATCCTGGAATAGGAGAAACTGAATAGTTTTTTCACCACTAAAAAAGTTAGAGTCTTTGTAAAGCTTGCCATCCGTGATATCGTGCAGGTAGCCGGGCTCAGAGTTATCTGCATGTGCGAGTTTTTTTTGTACTGACTTATCTGACAAGAATGCTGAAAGTGTTTTCTTTATTGGCACATAGTGAAAAGTCTTAGCGCCTCCACATTTAACTTCAATAGGATCTATCACTGTGAAGTTCTTTCTGTAAAATTGGCTTCTTGTATGCCTGGTTCGTAGGGCTCCACTGTCTGGGCTTACAGGGGACTCGTCAGCTTTCAGCTCTGCTACAACAGCCTGGCATACTTCTGGACTAACATCAAAGCATTCCAGCAATTTAGAAATGCCTTCTACTTTGCTCTCTCTAGCTTGAGTTTCAATGAAGTACATCTCATTAGCCACACATTGCACAACAGATGCTGGAACTAAGTGCAGCGACTCCAGCTTCATGAAAAACAAAGCCAGATGAGTTGTCACCAGTGATGCCTCACCAGGGCCCTCAACGGCCTTGACTGTCTGCTCAACACTTTGCGTTAAAGATGAGGACTCCTGGTTTCCCAAGCCACCGGTTACAGTGCTGGTCTGTGCATTATTAAAACTGTATTCAGAATCTTGTCCAAATGAAACAGATGGAGTTTGTCGATGACCATGGCACCGACTCATGTGAGCAGAGAATGTCTTCGTGTTCTGAAACACCCCCTTACAACTTTCGATGAAGCAGCTTGTCTTGATTCCTGAACTTATATGGCTTTTGACATGTTTTGTTATTTCCATTCTATTTGAAAACCTCAGAGAACAGAATGAGTGGGGGCATATCAGTTCCCGTCCTTGATACTGAAGTGTTGCCTGTTGCCTGCCGTGATGGCGGTATGTATGCACCCTTAATGCATTAAATGAGGAGAAGGTTCTGCTGCATGTCTCTTCTAAGCATGGCAAACTCAGATTATGGTGCATTGAATGCACTACGTAGTGCCTTTCATATTGGTACAAAGTTTTCTGTGGCAAATTGCACATGTGACACGTGTACATAATTTTTAGACGAAGCTGTTGGTCCAAACTATGAACCTAAAAAGAGGCGTAAAAGATGAGTTGAATGTAATACAAGCAACCTGATAATAGGCCAGTATTATATTTGATGATACAGTGTTCTTTTTTATTAACAGAATATTAAAGAAATGGAGGTGATAGATATGTGGATGCCATCTGCACTGTATAACTGTGTGACTCGGCGAGCATTAAATAAGTGAATAAACATAAAATTATGTTTACTAACTAACCAAAATCTGTTAATTACCTTGTTAATTATTGGTATAATGGGCCATGCTGCAATTGCAATTTTAAATGGAGACATTGGTAAAGTCTAACCTAAATCAAACAATTTTGTGAAAAGGCATCAAGTTTTGAGGTAATCCAAGTTTTTCGGAAATCGCCGGTTTGAGAGTTTTGGGGTTAGATTACTCTCTTTAAAATTGCAATTGCAAAGGGGCCCGTTAAACTGCTAAATAATAATAATAATAATAATAATAATAATAATAATAATAATAATAATAATAATAATAATAATAATTTTTAATAACTAATTCTTAGAGTCAGGATCAAGTTTTAGGTCTTGTCAAAGCCTCAAGGGCTTGTGGGACTAGACCCAGCAGTAACAGAAAGCATATTAAAAAGACTGGAAAAGTAGACTGCACTGGTCTCTATGTCTATTTGCTGGATCGCGTTTGACCAGCTTCTCCTATGGACCGGAATGCGGTCACTGGCGGCCATCTTTAGGTAGAGTTATATCATCTCTAGCCATCATAGTAATATGGCGGACAGCGCAATGGCGGCAGGCTGCCATAAAATAGCCGTAGATCCAGTACACTGTACCGTGGGTGACATTTCGTGCTTGATTGAAGTTGTTCGACGAAGCAGATTCTTGAAACCCGGCGTGAACGGTAGCCTCATCTTTGAGGACCCGGCAAAAGTTCTACGAAAGCGCAGCACCGGGGGAAAGCAGCGCAGCTCGCATCAAAAGCAGACTCCGTACCGTCGTCTGCTTTCGATGCGACTTTCGATACGTGCTGTGCTGCTTTTCTCCCGGAGCTGCGATTTTGTGAAACTTTTACCAGGTCCTCAAAAACCGGACTACTGTTCACGTCGTGTTTCAAAAACATGTTTCGTCAAATAATTTTAATCAAGCACGCGATATCACCCACGCTATTTTGACCAACCCACCTGCCAAAACGCTATCTGCCATGGATGGATGATAGCGGCTGCAGCAGCTTACATTGGCTAGAGGTGATATAACTCTACCTAAAGATGGCCGCCAGTGACCGCATTCGCGGAGCGGGCAAACGCGATCCAGCAATTGTCATAGAGATCAGTGGTAGACTGCATGCTGTCTGCTTCAATTTGCAACCGGAAGTCCCGTAGACACTAGCGCCAGCTGAGCCTCTAGCGTTTATTATAATAACTCTATGGTCAGGACATCTGGACCCCTCCCCCCCCCCCCCCCCCCTCTAAATTTGCCCCTGCTGAAGGCACACACTCAGTATTAAAATTAGAAAAAAAACATGAAACCCATTTTTTGTGGCTTATAAAAAGCTGCAAATACGCTGACTGAAAAAAAAAAAAGAAAGTTCAACAGAAAACCGGGAGCATTCTGTGCGAGCGTCGTTTCGCGTATCGTGGGACTCGCGGGGGCGGCGATGGCAGCGGAGGGCGGGCGTGTGACCACTACTACAGAACTGTCGTTCGCGGTACCGGCGAATTCTGTCTGTCTTTAAAAGAGGAAGTTGGGACTGATCAAAAGAATTGGTAGTCATCCCGTACGACACGCCCGACCACCAAGCCGATTTGCACGAAGACGTCGCGGAGCCGTCGCTCCTTTCTCCTGGCTGAAGACATCGATCGCGCAAACGTCAAGCACCGCACGAAGTGTTTACTTCGAGATGAATATGCACGCGTACGATTTCCTTACTAGGTGCGAATGTCGCCAATGTGTCGTGCTTCCTGATTTCGCCCCAGAGTGCTTTTGCTGGAGAAAAATCGGCAGCAAACTGTGCAACTTAATTTACCAGCTGAAT